ATCTCCTCCAAAAAAAAAAAAAAAAAGAAGAAGAGAGTTTGGCCCTGCCTACATAAAAAGACTTCAATCCAAAAGAACAATACCAAAATTATAATTACAAAAAATACTAGAGACCGAAGCTCACAACGACATATTAAACCTAGCCACGTTGCAAACCCTCCACACTCACTTTCTTGACCTCTCTAAAAATTCCATTGTTCCTCTCACATCCCAAATACCCACAAAACTGCAAAGAAACTCGCTTGCTACAACACTTTGTCCTTCCTCCAAAATGGAGGATTTAGAAGCATCTCCTCCATCATAAGGGAAACATGCAACCAAGTCACTGACAACCAAATCAATACAAAATATACTCAGATGTGATATTTTTTTATAGAGCTAGAAATCCATACATGATATTTGTTGTCTCAATTATAGTTTCATTTTGACATAACAGACTTGTTCATTACGACTTATTTGGATTACAAAAAAAAAAAACTTTCATTGAGAAAAAAAAAAATGAAAGACTGCAAAAGGTTCAACAATAGCTAACTAAAATGAAAAGGGCTCAAATCTAAGAGAATAAGACTCAACAAATAATTGTTTTTTTTTTTAGAGAAATAAAGAGAAAGCAATTACAAAATTCTTTAGAAACAGGTGCCCAACCAAAGGGTTAAACCTAGCTAAAGATCGAACATCCTCCACTGAACACTTCACATCCTTGAAGATCCCGTTTGTTCATTATAAGATGGTTTGCATAATTTTTGAAACTATGAAGTCAAATCATCCCCCTTATAACAGACAATTAAATGACCAGACAATAAATAAATTCCCTTCTATCCCTCCTAGAATAAGTACACAACAGAGAGACCCACCATACTCAATTAGATGGGAAAGTACAATATGCCGATAACTTACTAGAAAAAATCACGCAGCCGAACTCGATTCAAGCAACTATTGCTATCATTTGGGAGTTTGGTTGGACAGTGATCAGAGTACATCCAGAGACGAGGACTTCAATTCTCTTTTGACAAGGTTCTTTTCTTAGCTTCTGATTGAAATTCAGTAGCAAAGTATTTCAGATATACGAGTCTACTGACACATCTGTGTTATAGTATATCTGTGAATTTAGGAACTATTGGTCTTTTGTCTTTTACTGTAATTTTACTATTATTAGTTTAGGGCTCCCATGTATGAGATTCTCCCATATTTTGGTCTCACAATGCCATGGTATCAGAGCACTAGGTCTTTCTGAGGGCAACTTAGGTTTTGTGAGTTATTCAAGATTTGTGAACATTAAGGGTTTGAGATTTGGAACACCTTCTTGGCGGATTTGGACAATTGCCGTCAGGATCCGCTGCCGCCACCACCAAGGTCCATCGCCAAAGTACTTTTTGACACCACCAAGCCCAAAAGATAGCCCAATTGCCAATCAGCAGGGCTTCCATGTATGCTTATGTATATTTGAGTCTACTGTATAGAATGAATGAGATTTTCCACCGTTTTGGTCTCACAATAACAAAATCAAATTAGAAGAGTTGAAAAGGCTGTAAAAAGAAAAATTTAATCTTGAAGCAAAGACGAAAAAAGATGAGAATCATTCCATGCTAATAAATGTTAATCTCAAAGGAAAACTTGAATTTGGAAGCTCAAGGAAAAAGGATAAACATTCCAATCTCTGTACAGCAATGATGGCATATGAGAATCAGTTCTAAAATCATTTATCCACCAATAGCACAAAATTAAGGAAGGAGAAAACGTGGGGAAAAACGAACAAATAATTGAAGCACTTGGGAAAAGAAAAAGAAGAGATATATGTACTACCTTGGAAATACTTCTCTGCATCCATTAGATATAGGCTGCAAATTATTATCATCATATAATTGGGATTCAACTTCTTCGTCATCCAATAACGAACCATAATCTGTTCCAGAAACAGTATCACCAAACGAGCTTGAATTTTCGGTTGAATCATTGCATTCACTACTAGGACCTCCCTCACAATTATCTGTACACCCAATAATATCAATCTCCATATCCTCCCTTCTGTCGTACATCATACTTCGTTCAACAGATGGAGCTTCCATGCCATGACTTTTTTCCTGACCACTACTCGTACTCGGTTTATCCTGAGCAGCATTTTTGTCCTCCACACACCTTGAAATCTCCATCAAAGTTTCCTCCACTTTTGATCCATTTTCAGGTCTCATGCTAATATAGGCCCAAATTAAGGCCCTCTTTTGTACAATCAGGCAATCACATCTAAACAAATGAACAGCATCAGAACGCAATACACCTACACCAATACTTATTCAGAGTATATCACAAGTACCTAAAGTACGCAAAAATATTTTAAGCCTTCCAAATGTAAATAGCATAAAGAAAAATTTAAATTGAAGGTCCAACAATTGATTTTGTTCATATCCTACATCTGTTTCCACAAGAAGATGCTATTTATAGGTTGAAAAAAAATAAGTAAAGAACGAATTCATTGAAGAACTCATTAATTCTTGTTTGAAATCCATGAGAACATGACAGAAAGAACAGAATTGGCTCACTACTTTCATTCAAAAGCAAGAAGAAGATGAAGAAATTGGTCTTCACCTCGCTATCAATCTTTCTTCTCGAAAAGCAAAGGGAGATAACACATAGAGATTGAAAGATCAATAAACACAGAGATCATATAGCCAAAATAGGACCAAATTAGTGAACGGTAGCACAAAACACAAAAGCCTCCGGGAAGAAAATCAGCAAAGAAAAGCATTTCACCAATACAAGAAGTGAGAAACGAACAAGGACAACTATCGTTACACTCCGATCAAAAAAATCAACAAACAAATAACAGTCCATGTAAGGTCAAAGGGAAAAGTTCATCATCACCACTGAGATTCTTCAACAAATTGCATAATCCATTTCGGAAAAGAAATCTTCAAAAAAAAAAAAAAAAAAAAAAAAAAAAAAAAAAAAAAAAAAAAAAAAAAAAAAAAAAAAAAAAAAAAAAAAAAAAAAAAA